TAGTTTTTGGCAGACACAACATCTTTGTTTGTATGTGGTGCTGAGGATCGAACCCGGGCCGCTCGCATGCCAGGCGAGGGGGCTACCGCTTGAGCCACATCCCCAGCCCCATGAAATGGATTTTTATGAAAAGTAATGATCCTTTATTTGTGTGTTATTTCATAAACATGAAATGCTTAGCTTCTTAGATGGATTATCCATTGAGCTTTGTCCCTCTCTATTCTCTGGCTGCCAACTTTTTAAGAATGAGCAATTTAAACAAAAGTAGATATAATTGAGAGGGCAATTTTCTGTTTGTTGAACAATTAACATATTTTTGGATGTTTTTATGAGAATTCAGATTTTTAAAAAGAATATTTTGATTTCATTGATGCTTTTTTTTTGCATTACTATTGCCCCAGAAAAACACCTAGCCTAAGGAATTAAGAATTATGTAATGTTCAGTGTATATTTTTAACGCATTGGTATGTTTTCCAGTCCCTTAAACAAGTATTTTTGTAAGAACAAGAGAGTTTTTGAGATGAAAAAGGAGTGTGCATAGAAAGAAGATAGCTAGTCCTCAAAAATAAGGCAGCTGTCCTTTAGATAGATGACTGACATTATTCTTCAAAGCTCTCTTCCATTTCTTAAAAAAAATCTTCCTAGGAGCCTACATTTGAATGTTCCCCTCTGCTTGTGACAGGGCTGATCTCCAACTCTTTCCAATATCAACAAGGTTCCATTTAAAATATACTCATGTTAACAGGAGACTATACTGAACATTTTGAAGAAAAGCAGAGAGTTTTAAAAAAATATTTATTTTTTAGGTGTAGATGGACACAACACAATGCCTTTATTTTTATAAAGGTTCTGAGGATCAAACCCGGGTCCTACCCGTGTTAGGTGTGTTCTACTGCTGAGCCACAATCTCAGCCCAAGCAGAGGGTTTTTATTAGAGGAGAAACTTACCCAATCTCAGAACAGGAGGCCTCACATTTCTAATCATATCCTTTAGCTGCTACCAGGAAGCTTTACTGTCTTGTATTCCCCACCTTCTATTCCTTTCTCCCTTATGAGAGTCCTTGTCTCTCTTCTTTTCAAGAAAAACAGACCCCTCTAGGGCTGGGGTTATAGCTCAGTGGTAGAGTGCTTGCCTAGCACATGTGAGGCACTGGGTTCAATCCTTAGCATCATATAAAAGTAAATAAATAAAGTAAAACTATTGTGTCCCTCTACAACTAATATATATATATACCCTAGACCCCTATCGTCTTATATGGAGTTATGACACTCTCTAGTACAAACATAGATTTTTGGGTAGTTATCCTAAATCTAAGCAATTAATAATTTTTTGTATAAAGACAATTCGTTGCCAAGGGCATGCTGATGTGTGGATCTAAAAGAAGCTTACCATTTCCCCCTCAGTTACTCTACATGCACAGTCTCATGTGCTCCTAGTACAACCACAGCTCTTTCCACTACAGTATTGCCTCAGGATCAGGACAGATTGCCCAAGAGACCAATCCTGCAATGAGGCTATAACCACAACTATCTCCTTCTCTTAAAAGACTACCAGAACTAATCACATAATTTTTGCTTTTCCATTCTACTTCTTTTCTTTTGTCTTCTCTTTCTTGTTCTTCCTTCCCTCCCTCTTTGTCTCTTTTTCTTTCTCTCTCTCTCTATGTAACCCAGGCTGGCCTACAATTCCTGGGCTCCAGTGATTCTTTGCCCTCAGTCTCCAGAGTAGCTGGGACTTTAGGCAAGTGCTACCATGCCCAGCTGTCCCATTATTCTTTCATATTCATTTGCTTTAATCACCAGGACTCCAAGCCTCACAGGCTGTTTGTTGTCACCTGGACAATTTCTTATATGCCTATTTCTTTGACTCTGTCATTCCTCCTGCCATCAATTTTGATGACTGTAAAATCTACCTAGAGGAGTCATGTAAAGCTTGATCTGTCACTTCTTTAACCTGTCCTCTCTCTTAATGATTTTTTTTTCTATTCTCACTTGGCTCCAACTCATGTATTTCTCAAGTTTCAAAGTGCATATGGATCATTTAGAGGTCCTATTACAATACAGATTCTGATTTGAGGCAATGTTGATGCTGCACCATGAGCACCAAGATTACAGATATACACTTCATTGTTGTTAATGATGACACCATTCCTTTGTACTCAACTGGCAAAATCACAGTGCTGATTAGACTTAATACTTTATCTATTCCATGCCTGTACCCAAACATAGTATATGGCCAGAAAACACACTACTGTGCTGTATGCCTCGAATCTATGGCCATCTCTCTGAAGTGGACCCCAGTCTTACCCAGCAAACTTAACACATTCATCTAATTTGTTCTCTCCCTCTCTGAGATGACTACTTCTTATCTTCTCTCTCCTCTGATCTTCTCCATC